ATGGCTTTTAGTATAATCACAGTGCAACCATCAGCACTGTTAATTTTAGAAAACTTTTATTACAATGGTCAATTTTAAATCTTCATTTTACTTGGCCTATCCACAGCATTTGACACACTTGGTCAATCCCTTCCCCTCTAGACATTTTTTTCACTTCACTTTCAGGACATCACACTCTCTTGGTGTTCTTGGTGCTTCTCCTTCCTCACTGGCCATTTCCTTTCAGTTGGCTTGGCTTTTCTTCGCCCTGACCTCCTTCTAGAGATTGGAGTGCCCAGGGTTCTCCTCTATCTTCCTGGGTGATCTCATCCAGCCTCATGGCTTTAAATACCATCTATATGTTTAGTAGCAAGTGTGTGTCATTAGAGACCAAGGCTAAAATCATCCACGCCCTCGCATTTCGAATTACTGTATATGGATGTGAAAGTTGGACAGTGAAGAAGGCTGATAGGGGGGAAAAATGATTCATTTGAAAGTTGGTGTTGGAGAGAGTTCTATGGATACTTGGGCCTAGACCAACAGAAAGATGAACAAGCAGGTAGTAGAGCAAATCAATCCTGAAAAGTTGCTGGATGCAAAAATGAGAAAACTGAAGCTGTCCTATTTCGGGCACAAAATGAGATGTCAGGGTTCTCTGGAAAAGATAATAAAGCTTGGAAAAACTGAAGGCAACAAGAAAAGAGGAAGATCACATATGAGAGGAACTGACGCCATAAAAGAAGCCATAGGCATGATGCTACAGGAGCTGAGTAGGGCTTTGAGGACAGGACACTCTGGACGTAACTCATTCATAGGGTTGCCGGGAGTTGGAGCTGACTCAATGGCTCATAACGCACACATATGTTTTGTGTTACCAGTTTGCATCTCTAGCCCAAGACATCTTGCACCTGCTCCCAACTTGTTTATACAAATGCCTGCTCCACATCCCCATGTAGATTCTAGGACAACTCAGCATATTCAGAACTAACACTATTCCACATGCAGTCTTCCCTTCCTCAGTTGATGACAATTTCATCTTTCTAGTGTTCTGGCCCCAAATCCTGGTTATCCTTTTTTTTTTTTTTTTTAAATTTCAGAGAGGAAGGTAGAGAGAGAAAAACATCAATGACGACGAGAGAGAATCATGTATAGGCCGCCCCCTGCATACCCCTCACTGGAGATCGAGTCCGAAACCTGGGCATGTGCCCTTGACCAGAAGCCGATGCTCTATCCACTGAGTCAAACCAGCCAGGGCATTCCTTGTTATCCTTAATGACATTTGTCTCTCACATACCACATTCAACCCACCAGGAAATTCTCTACCCTCAACATGTCCAGAACCCTATGCCTTCTCCCACCTGCTTTGTTATCCACTGGTCAAGCTGCCACCATGTCTAGCCTGGATTACTGCTATAGCCACCTAACAGGTCATACTGCTTTTACCCTTGTTCCCCCTAGTCTATTCTTAACACAGCAGCCAGAGGGATCCTTTTAAAATAGAAGTGACTTCATATTACTCCTCTGCTCAAAATCCTGCAATGACTCCCCATTTCATTCAAAGTAAAAGCCAAAGTTTACACAATAGCCCACAAGGCCCTTCGTGACTAATTCCCTCTGCTCCTTATCTTCTTGACTTTATCTCTTACCACTCTGCCCCTCACTCATTTTGTTCCAGTGACACTGGCCTCAACTTTTCCTCAAACCCTTCACGCACACTTGTGATTTACAGAGTTTGCAGTGGCTAGTCCCTCTTCTGAAGAGCATGTCCTCCAACTGTACAGCTTAGCCAATTCCCTCACCTCCTTTTGGGCATTGCTCAAATTTCATCTTCTCCAGAAGGCCTTCTCTGATCACCTTACTTAATATATGGTCAACCCTCCCAACCCTCCTCTATTTCCAAACCCCCTTACCTTGCTCTATTTTTTCTTTTGTTCTATAGCACTTATCACTCTTTATATATATATATTGATTTCAGAGAGGAAGGGAGAGGGAGAGAGAGAAACAGCAATAATAAGAGAGAATCATTGATTGGCTGCCTCCTGCACGCCCCACACTGGGGATGAAGCCTGCAACCCAGGCATGTGACCTTGACTGGAATCAAACCCAGGACCCCTTCAGTCCTCAGGCCGATGCTCTAGCCACTGTGCCAAACCAGCTAGGGCAACTTATCACCTTTTAACATGCCCTATTTTATTTAATTAAATTTATTGGGGGTGACATTCATTGGTAAAATTAAGTTTTAAGTGTACAATTCTATAATACATCATCTATCTACTACATTGTGTGTTCACCACCCAAAAGTCTCATCTCCTTGTCATATTTAAAAAAAAATGTTTATAGTTGACAGTATTACATATGTCCTCCCCCCCATTGACCCTTTCTAGTCTGTTCTCACCCGTCACCATATATTTTATATTTGACCCCCTTTACCCTCTTCAAACTCCCTCCACATCCATACACTATACTATATTGTAAAATATGTTTTTATGGATATTTAGAGAGAGAAGGGGGGGAGAGAGAAAAACATTGATCAGTTGCCTACTGTCTGAACCAGCAACCTGGGCATGTCCCTGACCAGGAATCGAAGCAGTGACCTTGTGGTGCATGGGATGATGCTCAACTAATTGAGCCACACTGGCCAGAACCCATACAATATATATATATTTTTATTAAAATATGATTTTATTGATTTCAGAGAGGAAGGGAGAGGGAGAGAGAGAGATAGAAACATCAATGATGAGATAGAATCATTGATTGGCTGCCTCCTGCACATCCCCTACTGGGGATCGAGCCTGCAACCTGGGCATATGCCCTTGACCGGAATCAAACCTGGGACCTTTCAGTCTGCAGGCCGATGCTCTATCCACTAAGCCAAACCAGCTAGGGTCATACACTATATTTTTAATGCTTATTTCCTAGGTGTGTTTAGTGTCTCCCAAAGCAAGAATTTGTTCATTGAGGTAGCGCAAGGATCCAGTACAATGTCTGGTACAGAGCTCAATAAGTACTTGTTGAATGAATGTATGAAAAATGTGGACAGTGCCTGCTCTATAAAACTATTATAGGGATTAAATAACGGGCAAAGATCCTGACACCTAACAACGGACACCCAACAAATGTTAGATCCCTACCTCCCTTCAACAAATATCTTCCCCGGCTGCCTCCTCTTACAGCACTGCTCCTTCCCTCCTCTCTGGAAAATTTCACCATTCTAGTCTCTCCTTTATTTTCTAATAAAAGCAGGTCCTGTTATTCACCAAGTTTTCCCAGTAAGTGCTGGGCAGTTTGTTAGTCAATCATATTATTTATTCTTTTTTTCCCGCATCACATTTATCCCCTCTATGCCCTCTTTCACCTCCACCCTTCCCACCCTCCCACTTTGATTTTAATCCAGGAAGATCTAACAAAAGGCCACAGATGTCTTCTGAGAAGAAAAGGAACCCTGGGAGACCAGCTTTACCTAGTGCCACAAGTATTTATCTGATTAGCAAATTGTCACCCAGAGTAGTAGAGAGCCCTGAGGACACGGACCAGTAAATGTTTTTGTTGTTGGAGGTTTATTGCACTGATTTTTAAAGTAAACTTTATTAAGGTATAATTTACATACATTAAAATAGAATGTTTTAAATACAATTTGATGAGTTTTGACAAGTGTACTGTAGTCAATTTGATTTGGGGTGGAGGGCATTAAGGTCACCTGGGATTATGCAGGTTGAGATTTAGCAGAGGGATCCTGGTTAGAAAAGAGAACAACATCAGGGCTCTTGGAAAACATACCCAAACTAGAGGCCCGATGCACACAATTCATGCAGGGAAGGGGCGGGTGTCCCTCAGCCCAGCCTGCCCCTCTTGCAGTCCAGGACACCTCACTCCCTACCGCCCACCTGCTTGCTGCTCCTTAGCGCTGTGAGCCGGGTTTATGGCTGAGGGGTAACCCTGTGGGAGTACACTGACCACCAGGGGGAAGCTCCTGGATTGAGCGTCTGCCTCCTGGTGGTCAGTGCAGGTCATAGCGACAGGTGTTCCACCATTGGGTCTATTTGCATATTAGGGTTTTATAACATAGGATAGAGACCTAATGCACAAAATTTGTGCAAGAGTTGGCTTTCCTTCCCCTGGCTGCCTGCACCAGCTTCCCTCTGGCACCTGGGACCTGGGCTTGCTTCCCTCAGGCTGCAGGCATATGGGACCTGGGCTGGCATCCCTCTGGCCACCTGCAGGCACCCAGGACCTGGGCTTCCCTCCCAGCCCCGGCTTTGTCCAGAAGTACATTGGCCTAATTAGCATATTATGCTTTTATTATTATAGATTATATAGATAGGGAGGAGTGGAAACACCAAGGGCTGACCTGAGATTGGTCCTGGGGTCTCACTGCACCAGGATCTGGACCTACAGAATATCTGGCAACTTCGTGGCACTCCTTGTCCTCCTGAGGGAGCGGGCCAACTCCCTATCACAGCAATTTCACGTGTTTAACCCATGGGGATCGTTCCAGCCCTCCACAACCAAGCTTCACCGCTGCCACGACACATGGGGATCGTTCCAGCCCTCCACAACCAAGCTTCACCGCTGCCACGACACTCAAGGGGCCCGATTTTCTCTCCATCCTTAGTTAGAAACTGGTTTCGGATCTGCATCAGTACCGCGGGCGGAAAAAAAGCAAAAGTGCTGCAGCAGGTGTTGGAGCCAGGAGTCCCCTTTTGGGTCTGCCATCCTCCCCACCCGGGGCTCTGGGCAACCAGGCTCTCTCCCCCGCCCTCCCTCCGGCGCCTAAAAGCTCAGAGGCTGCAGGTCCCGCTTCACTTAGAGACAGAAACGCGGACTTCAGGTCTGCTGGGCAAACTGAGGCGGGACTGGAGATTCTGGGCGAGGAGTCTGAGGCTGGAACGGAGGGAGCCCCTGCCAAAAGCCCAGTGAGGGTCGCGCCAAACCAAAAAGAACCCGTGAGGGTCCCGGCGGGCTCGGGGCGGGAGGCAGGAGGGAGCGAGGCGCCGCCCACGCAGCGGGCGGACTTGGGGAGCGGCGCCCAGTGGGTGGGGTCCCGGCGGGGGCGGGACCGACCTGGGCTACCGGCCGTGCAAGTCGCGCCCTGCAGAGCGAAAGTAGTTGGTGGCGGCCGCCGCGCGTGGCTCCAGTGCTGCCTGCCCGCGACCTCACGGCCATGGCGGGACCCCAGGAGTTTCTGAGCGGGAAGCTCCGGCTCTGCTTCACCCCCGCCGCCCGGACCAGCCTCCTGCTGCTCAGGCTCAACGACGGGGCGCTGCGGGCGCTGCACGAGTGTCAGCGGCAACAGGTGCGGCGGGCCGGGCCCATCTTCCCCAGACCCGAACCCTCGACTCGGGCCCCAGCCGGAGACCCTGGCGGAGGGACCGGGGGTAGGGAGCGGCACTCACCGGCGCCGGCCTCCCCGACCTCCCAGCTCCTCCAAGTGAAGCCCGGAGCACGGTCCCTCCCGGCACCGGAGCTGGGGACTCGGCTGCACCTGCGCTCAGCTGCCTCTGTGCTCTCCCCGCAGGTGCGGCCGGTGATCGCTTTCCAAGGCAGCCGAGGGGTAAGGAGGGACCTGGGGGGTGTGCGGGGAGAACAGACGCGGGCTCGGGGCCGGAGACTGAGACGGTCACGGTCTGGGGAAGTTCCTGAGAACTGAGCCCGAAGCGGGTGAGGGGGCTGCTGGGGTGGCGGTCCCAGGAGGCTGCGGTTGGAGTCTGTGCCCTTCAGCCTCCTGGGACCGCGGGCCCAGCTGCACCTGGCGTGCTAACGAGTCCCCCGGGACCCGTCTTCAGCCTCAGGTGGGCTCGGGGAGAAAGGGCATGGGCAGGAGGGGGCAGGGTTGACTCCTGGGGCTTACGGTCTCCTTTCACTCCCAGTATCTGAGGCTCCCAGGCCCTGGCTGCTCCTGCCTCTTCTCCTTCACAGTGTCCCAGTGTGGCCAGGAGGGCCCTGGCGGTGGCCTGGACCTTGTGTACCAACGCTTAGGCAGGTGAGAGAGGGTTTGTGGGAAGTCAGGACGGGGATGTCCAGAGCTGCTTTAAAAGTTCTCCACCCTCCCGGTATGTTTTCCACCACCTCTTTCCAGACCCGGGCCTAACCGCCTGCACTGCCTGGGGCCACTCAGGGAGCGCCTCAGTATTTGGGCAGCCATGGATTCTCTCCCAGCCGCATCTTCAGGCCAGGGACACAACCTGACCGAAGATTCCAGAGATCCTGAGAATTGGCACATCGGGGATTATTCTAGAGATGCAGTTTCACAGCCACAGATGGCACCAGAGGAGGTGAGGCCAGAAGAAACTGCAGGGAGTTGGGATAAGGTGGGGCAAAGCCTGAAGCCCAGGTAGCCAAGTGCCCCTGCCATTTCCCCTGCCAGGTGCCAGATCCACGGGCCAGCAGCCAAAGACGGTCACTCCCCGGATCCTCCAGGGAACACACGGCACAGTGGGAAGTGAGGTACTTGGGCAGAGTGGGACTAAGCTGAGAAACCCTTCCTCGAATCTTTACCCTAAGTGATACGATAAGAAATCTAGCTCTACCTCCTACTCGGGTCTTCATCTCTTCCATCCTAGGAACCAGACCTGTCTTCCAAACAGAGAGCCTGACCAGGCACTGCCTTCTGCTAGCCAGAAACATCTGAACAAGGTAAATTGTAACAGAGTTTTTCAGAGAGATTTGTCCAATCAGGCTAAAGTTTTAAAGTTGGGATCCTTCATTTTGATGCTCACAGAGATTACTACATGGAAATAATTTTCAAGAGAGAGTAGGGGGCACAGAGTAGGAGGCTTCTTGACATACTATTAGTGTGACAGAAGTATTTCCCCCAACAGAAGCGTCCAGCACCTGCAGCCACTACAAAACTGAAGGAAAAGAGGCTCAGAACTCTAGCCCCAAGTCCCCTACAAGGACTGCCCAGTCAGGACCTACGAGAGGGAGAAGATTGGGAGCAAGAAAATAAACATGAAGACGTGGGCCCCAGACTGGAGCACAGTCCCTCAGTTCAAGCAGGTGAGTTAATGAGAGTAGTGAGAGGAGGATAGAACTGCCACAGTGGGGGAAAGGCCGATAATCACCTTCATGTCTTCTTCCTTCCTTCCTAGACTCTGAATCCCCAAGCCCTGAGGAGGTACCAGATTACGTCCTGTGAGTCCCCTGCCATTTCTAAGTTTATCAAGCCTTGTGCATATGAGATTTAGATGAACTTCCTGGGAGCTTGGAGCTTTGGCAGGCAATAAAATTGAAAGTGGTTAACTTTACTCTGCTCCTGGCAGGCAATATGGGGCTATCCACACTGCAGAGCAGCAACATGCTTATGAGCAGGACTTTGAGAGAGATTATGCTGAATACCGCATCCTGCATGCTCGATTTGGGGCTGCAAGCCAAAGGTTCCTAGAGCTGGGAGCAGAAATCAAGAGAGTTCAGCGAGGAACTCCAGAACACAAGGTAAGGACTGGACTCAGGATGGCTTCCCAGGTCTACTGGCCATAAACTCCCTGTTTTTTTCAGTGACCGAAGTGACAAGCAAGCCTGTTTTAAGAGAAAAATTATTTTGTATCATTTGGTAGCATGAGAGGAAGTTACTTCCCTCCCTTAAGAGAACTAGTTTTTTTCTCATGGTTAAACTTGATGCTAGCATTTTCTTTGTTTCAGGTGCTGGAAGAAAAGATAGTCCAGGAATATAAAAAGTTCAGGAAGGTAAGACTAGGCCTGGGAATGCTAGCAATAAGGTAAAAATGAATTCCTTTTTTTTGACATGGATGCTTTTTCTCTGCAGCGGTACCCAGGTTACAGGGAAGAAAAGTGTCGCTGTGAGTACCTGCATCAGAAATTGTCCCACATTAAAGGTCTCATCCTGGAGTTTGAGGAAAAGAACAGGGGCAGCTGAACTAACTGGTCAAGGGCTATCGACCCTCTCTGTCCGGTGTGATGCAAAGGAACAAAACAGCTGTAAATGAAGTAGAGTGCAACTGTCCGCTCTTGTTATTGCTGAATCCATGGTGGCAAGTAGGAGAGCTGCTCTAGGTTAAGGTTTGCTTTTCATTGTTGCCATATATTAATTTTTAGGGTGTGGGCGCAGTGCCAACACTCTATAGCTGTGCCCAGGAGACTAAGAAAAGCAGCCACGGCTTGGCTTCTCCACCTTTAGTTCAGCAAGTCATTTTCAAATCTTAAGAAAGAAATGACACCCTTCCCAGGACAAGATACCTCAAGGACATTAGAATTCAGCCTGGTAGCCGCCCTAACAAAACAGTAACTTTTAGGAAGTTGTGATACACCCGGATGTAATGGGAATGGCTTGGGGTCTTATCAATGTACCGAAAGTGAATTCTTTTACAAACATGGCTAAAAATTAAAACTGTCTCTGTGTCCTTTGTACAAGTTTATATGCTTTTCTTAAATCTTCCAAAGCAGTGGTTCTTACCCCTGGCTCTATGTCTGAACCACTTCTGGGCTCTAAAAAAATTAGATATCCAAATCCCAACCCAGGTCTTGTGAATTAGAATCTCCAAGATTATGGTTAGGCTTTACTTCTTCAAAGCACTATGGATGATCCTGATAAATATCCTCCTACGTAATAAAGAGCTAATATGCTAATTAGACCGAACAGCCAGACGACCGTCCGGACTAAGCAGGGGCTGTGAGGGCCAGCTGGGGCAACAAGTGCCGAGCCCCCCTGCACAAATTTTGTGCATTGGGCCTCTAGTTTTGCTGTAAGTCTCTACCAAATCCATCTTATAATTGACAACTAGAGATGACAGCAGGAAAAAAGTTCTCTCTCTCTTTTTATTAATCCCTACCTGAGGATATTTTTCCATTAATTTTCAGAGAGAGTGGAAGGGAGGAGAGACAGAGAGAGAAGCATCAATGCAAGAGAGACACATTGATTGGTTGCCTCCTGCATGTGCCCCAACAGGCTTGGGATGAAGCCTGTAACCAAGGTATGTGCCTTTGCCTGGAATAGAATCCGGGACCCTTCAGTACACAGGCTGACACTCTATCCACTGAGCAAAACTAGCTAGGGCAAGTTCTCCTTTTCTAAACATCGAGGTGAAGATCATTTACTATTAGAGCACCTATCTGGAAATATTCAGTGACTGAAAACTATAACTATGGATAGGATTTGGATGTGCTCACAAAAAGGATGAGGGGAAATGGTTCAATGCATTCCTCGGTTGTTGTATAAGAAAGTGGATGCTCCATTCACAACCAGGAATGATACTGCCTTCCCCAGTCCACTGGAAAGGAAAGTTAATAGGCCACACCCTGGGCTTTGGGAGAGAGCTGCACCCCGCAGTGTCAGCAATTCCTGAAACAACTTGGATGGAACCCCAACCTGATGCCACACCCACGCAGGGCATTTATGGGTAAGCAGCAGCTCTTGGGAGGTATAAACACGGTCAGCTACATGGCAAGGACAAACAGCAACCCATCCTTAAGGCACAGACAGGGTCAGAAACAGATTCCAACAAGAAAGGGCCCTCACCTGTTCTAATTACCCAACGAGGGGCCTGGGCAATAAACATGTAAGGATAGAGACAAAATTTGGAGAGGATTTACAGGTGGAAACTATGGAGTCAAAATAGCTGATCTACAGCTGTACTGACCGAGATGGTAGCCACTAGCCCTATACAGTGGGGCCTTGACTTACGAGTGTCCCGACTAACGAGTTTTTTGAGAGATCAGCTGTCTCTCAGCCGATTTTTTGCATTGAGTTGACAGAGTAATTTGAGTTAATGAGCTCCTTAACGAGCTCGGTCTCGGAATGAATTAAACTCGTAAGTCAAGGCCCCACTGTATGTGACTATCCTATCTAATAAAAGAGAAACATGGTAATTAGCGTACAACTGCTACCCTTTTCATTGGCTAATCAGGGCGATATGCAAATTAACCGCCAACAAAGATGGCAGTTAATTTGCATATGTAGGCACAATGCAGGGAGGCGAAAGGGAAAGCAGGAAGAAGCCCCCTGCCACTGACAGTGATTGGAAACCCATGGGGGAGCTAAGAGCCCTGCCCCCCAGCCATGATCGGAGAATTGGGCGCCTTTGCCGCCCTGGCCAGTGATAGCGGGAAGTAGGGGTGGAGCCAGTGATGGGAGCTGGGCACGGGCGAAACTGGCAGTCCTGGGAGCTAGGGGTCCCTTGCCCGGGCCTAAAGCAGAGCCTGCGATCGCGGCGCCGCTGCAGCCGCGGGTCCCCGCCGCTGCCCAGGCCAGATGCCTCGGCCAGCCTCATGCAGGGCCCTGCCAAGGGTGTCTCTATGCCACACCCCATGCTTTGCTCTGCTTCTCCAGCAGGGTGGCCAAGGCCACAGGAGCCCTGAACCTCCCCCTCCTGGGACCTTCCAGATCTCTGCTTCTTCTGTGGGATGGGACCAAAGCCCTTTGGTTTAGTACACGTAGGCTAGGCTCTCTCCAAAGAGCTTAAAGCAAACAAGGAAACCAAGAGATATTCAGTGTCCAGCCCTAGATGTCTTAGCCTGAGTTTTGGCTTCCACAGACCTATCCCTCTCCACCCACCTCTCAAGAGGTTAGAGCACCAAAGGTGAGGAGAGTAAGGAAGACATGAGGATCCCAAGCCTGGGCCCTGGTGATGATGGGAAAGCTGAGACACAACCACCTTAGACACCTGCCCTCAGCTCCATGGAGATATTCACAAGGAAGATTTCTACTAGCCTCTAACCTTCCAACAAGAGGATCAAGGCTGGGCTGAGGGACACCCTCCTCCCGTGCACGAATTTCGTGCACCGGGCCACTAGTTTAAATTAATAAAAACTTAAAATGTAGTTTCTGGACACATTTCAAATTCTCAATAGCTACATGTTTTAGAGAATGAAGGTTATAGAACATTTCCATTATCGCAGAAAGTCCTATTGGACAGTGCTGGGCTAGAGAACCGTTGGTTTCCCATCTCGTGGAAAAGACAGTTTAAAGGGGGCTCTTTTATTATCACTGTTCCAAATGTACAAAAAAAATTAGAAAATAACCCCCCAACTTAATTCCCCCCACCCCCAGCAACACAAATAATTTTTCCCAAAAGCACAAACATAAACTGGTCCTGGTATTTCCACAAACAGTGCAGCTAAGAAACAGTTTAGAGAAAATTGAACAGGATTCAGGTAATATCCATCTATCCTCTCAGCCCTGAGAGGTAATAATCCCATGTGGGTACCAGTCCTTCCTAATGGTTTTCCCAGCTCTGGTGGAAGAGTCCTTTACAAAGTGGTATGTTTGGCTGCTGCTTTAGAGATCCTCCTGTGCCTTCTTTTTCTTCTTGGGTTTTTCTTCTTGAATTACAGGGGGGTTTGTAGCCTCTCGCTGTAGATAGCTAATAAAATCACTTAATTCACGGCCACCCTGAAAACAGAAAGATTACCATGAAAATTTAATCATTTAAAGAACCCTGGGTTTCCCCCAACCCCCAATAAGACTTCTGAGTTTGTAAAAGCACATTAACCACATATACTGACGAGTCGAAAGAGTTTCCAGTTAAATAAATATAATTAAAGAGCCAGATATGTACAAGCTTGTGTGAGTATGTGTGTGTTTATTTGTGGAGAGCTGAGACAATGCACTTACTTCATATTTCTTTGGATCTAGCTTCTTGTTGGCTGGAGAGAAGTAGATGGTAGGAAAACTAGGGAAAAGAAAAAGAAAAAGAGTTGACTACTTTCTGGTTCGAGTAACTCTGTCATACGAGTATACGTCCTTAATAACTGTTTCTTGGAGTAACTTCTCTTCATGATTTCTTTCTTTTTTTGGTAATCCTCACATGAGGATATTTTTCCATTGATTTTTAGGGAGAGTGGAAGAGAGGGGAAAGACAGAAATATCAATATGACAGAAACACATCGATTGATTGCCTCCTGCACACGCCCTGACCAGGGCCTGTGTCGGGGAGGAGCCTGCAACCAACATATGTGCCCTTTACCATAACTGAACCCGGGACTCTTTGGTCTGCAGGCCAAAGCTCAATTCACTGAATTAAACTGGCTAGGGCCATGATTTCTAATGTGACCAGACAGCAGTCTCCATCAATGGTTAGGGTAACATCCGACCAAAACTTAGGAATATGAGAGCTCACAAAATCTGTGACAGTCATGTAGGCCCATGCTGCAGAACTCTAACCCAGGGAAGGTATCAGTGGTTCTGTGCTCAACTGGAGTATGAGGGCTCCCCAAACTATACCCAATTAAAAAAATGGCGTTTTTTTTGTCAATTGGCTACTCATTTTTATTAGTTTTTAATCTACTTACCCTCTGACTTCATATGGAGAAGGCACATCATTGGCTGTGGCATCCATCTTGGCTATGATAATATTTGGGTCTTTTCTGAGCTGTTAATAAAAAGGTTAGATTTTTAAGTTTCAAGTTTCAGTGACTGAGAGACAGTCAATTCAGGACTTAAAACAATCACATCTTAAAACACCTACATAAGTTTTGCTGCTCAGACAAGAAGAGTAGTTATCACTTGCACATAGTATCTTGCCTTTCACAAGTTTCCCTGTTCTCTCTGGGTTCCATAGTAAGACTCTATATACAGCCACCTTCAAAACTATCTAGCTGAAAGAAGACACTGTAAAGGCTAAGCCAAATGTTTTAAGATGAAGGAACATAATGGTTTCATATAAACCATTACCAAAATTCAGAAGCCTGGATATATATTTTTTAAAATATATTTTTATTGTTCTTTAGAGAGAGAGAGAGAGAGGCAAAGTCAGAGGGATAGAAAAAGAGAAACATCATAGATTGGCTGCCTCCTGCATGCCCCCTCTTGGGGATCAAACCTGCAACCTGGCCATGTGCTGTCTGGGAATTGAACTAGGGACCTCATGATTCATGGGTTGATGCTCAACCACTGAGCAATACTGACAGGGCAGCATGTACACTTTTAACCATAATCTAGATCAGTGGTTCCCAAACTTTTTTTGGCCATGCCCCACCTAAGCATCTTTAAAATCCTGATGCCCTCCCTGTGACATAAATTCTTATTACTCAAAAAGTGAACTCCTATTCATGTGGAGAAAGTCTAAAAGGCCATTACCTTGGTCTAAACAAGCTTCCAAAGAACATGGCATCCATGAAAGAGAAAAATAAAAGAACGAAAGGACAGTTGAAGTACTGAGGAAGAAATCACTAGAAATTGTTAAAAAATAATAATATGAAATGATATGAAAAAATAGCAAATAAAGTTTCAAAACATAATAGAGAACTAAAATGCATAAATATGTGCAATATATATTTATATACTGTATATGAGGGTCCCTAGAACCATATGAAAGGCAAAAATTCACTTATTAATCCCCGTAAAAATCAAACTGCCTCCCTATGGGGCGTGTGCCCCATGTTGGGAACCACTAATCTAGATTGAGTCTGAGTGGTTTTATTTTTTAAACATTTTTAAAAAATTATTATTTTGTTGTTGTTGTTAATCCTCACCGAAGATATTTTTCCATCGATTCTCTGAGAGAGTGTAAGAGAGAGGGAAAGTCAGAAACATTGATGTGAGAGAAAAACATCGATTGGTGGCCTCCTGCACGCACCCGACCAGGGCCCCCGGTGGGGAGGAGCCTGCAACTGAGATACGTGCCCTTGACTGGAATCGAACCCGGGACCCTTTCGTCCGCAGGCCAATGCTATATCCACCGAGCCAAACCAGCTAGGGCGAGTCTGAGTGGTTTGAGGACAGGTATTTGAGGCACTGCTCAGGCTAAACACTAGGGGGAAATCAAGAGAAAGTGGATAAAGAGTAGATGAGGTAACTACCTAGCCAATGCTAAATACATGTGTCAACATCCCCACTCAAATTTTATCTTCAGAATATGGTTCAGACTTACCTTCTCTCCCAGTTCTTTATACTTAGGTTCCAGATTCTTACAGTGGCCACACCAAGGAGCATAAAATTCAATCAGCACATCTTTATTTACATCATTCACTATTTCATCAAAATTCTCTGCTACCACTACCTGGAAAACATAGAAGATTCTCTAGTTGGTAAGCTGAGCTGACAAATAAATTCACAAGTTATATTTGTTTCTGGACCCAATCCCTTTCAAATCTGATGTGTTCTAATCCCTCTCAAATTTGATGTGATGTCACTGAAACCCAAAACACATTTATAGACTGTATTAAAGATGCTGTAGGTTGGGAGAGGTCAGTGGGGGAAAGGGAGACATATGTAATACGTTCAACAATAAAGAATTAAAAAAAAAATTGAACCAACCTTTTCAACCAGTAAAGAAAAAGAAAAAAAAGATGCTGTCATTCCCAGAAACCAATTCATTCCTATGTTCAGGAAGTCACAGGAAACAAGTGTTACCCAATCCTTCCTTAAAATAATCTTAAAATTATTCTTAGGGGTTAGCTTGCTCTGTCCCAAAGAATAAGCTAGCTCTGATATAAATACCACCAAAAAATTCTATGGAGGTTTTATAGTCCTGCCCCAATTGAGCTTTATGAGCTCTGTCAATGCTTATTTTATGTATGAGGTGGAGAAGAGGGGGGAAGTGAGGACAAATAAAAACATGATAACTAACAAGGTCTTCACTTAGACCCAGCATTTTTGGAAGAAATGAGGAGAGGCTGCGTACAAGCTTGGGGAGGCCATGAGCACCTCACCTTTACGGGCCCATCATTGCTCTCTGGGATTGGCTCAGACTTTAGGTATCTCTTCAGGTTGCCATCAAAGTAATCCTGCAGGAATCTCTCAAGAGCCTTGCCATCACGCCTGCCAATTGGAAAGCAAGTGTCAGGTTAATTTATTCCCATCATTGAGAGGATTAAAAGCAATTTCTTCGAATAGTTTCTACATATTTTAGCTTTAATTTCAAGATTAGAATGAAATCGGAAGTTTAAAAAAATGCGGGGGGGGGGGACTCTTATCTCTCAATATTCAGGACCACTGACTGAACAAAAAACCAATCACTTCTTAGTATTTCTAGTGTGTTCTTTGTGGATTAAAGGGCAGAAAAGGAAGAAAACATTGGTCTTCTGAAAATTCAGTTCTACCTAAGGACCAGTTTTACTTTGTTGCTTTAGAGAACAGTGCCTATTTATGAAACCTCATTTTACTGATTCGTTCACAAGGAAGATTTTCGATTGTGTTGATCTCCCAAAGTCTCAGAAGATGAAAGTCAAAATTATCTGGGGACCTAAGACCTCTCCACTTCCCTGAGTTTACTGTAGGCCAATGTGCTATTCCAAGAAGAAAAAATATTCTGTAGGTTGAGAAGAGATTGGATTGGTCTAAAATTACATAAATTTCAAAGAGACTGTCTAGTGTTCTTTATGGTACTATTTCGAATGGCAGGGTGGAAACAATCATGTAAGAATTCCATGCTGCCATCTTTCATTATTATTTATCATGATCCTTAAAGTAAGTACCTGTAATTAATTGAGAAAAGTGAGTCATAAGGTGTTGACTAGAAGACCTATCTTCACATTTGAACATTCACCTTTATAAATTCTCAGTAGTGTAAAAGGCTTTTAATAGTTTCCTTGAAGAATCAAATCCCAAACCCATGCTAATGTGTAACTCACGAGAATTCCTCCTGCATGACAAACTTCTCTCCTTTTGCAGTTCTGATAGCAACAACAGGAATCTCTCCGGCAGTGCTTTCCAAACCAAAATCGGAAAGATCATGGCTAAAGGTTTTGCGGCTAGCTACAGCAAAGTTAAGTTTGTGTCCAGCATCCAGGAATTTCTTTGCTACCATCATCACCCTGTGGGAAACAAGAGAAATTTATGCCTATGCCAAGATTACAACAGGGTGGTACAGCACTTCTGAAACCAAGAAGCAAGAGTCTAGAAAGCAAAGACTAAGTTTTATAGTCCATGCAGCCCCCCGGAATCAGTCTGAACTTGTGTCCTTGGGCATTAACACAGGATTATGGTGCGCTCTAATGTGCCACTGAACTTCATTGCCACACTGGTGGTGCCCAATCAAATAGTTCATTCCCACTGAATCTTGATACACACACACACACACACACTGAAATATTGGAGGCATATTGACTAATCTGAAAAGAAAGCTTATAAGGCTAAAATGTACTGAGTCTCAATGGGCAAGTAGGCACAATATTTTAGAGTACATTTTAGAATCACATTTGCATCTTTTACTTGGAGAAGGAATCAGCTGTATCACAAGGCAAAGGAATACCTATGGAAGATATGTCCAATAGATTTTAGAAATAGTTTGTTATGTTATTTGTCCTTATGAACTGTTCTCATTCTTATCTGCTCTCCCATCACACATGGTAACAGGATAGCTAGAAGGAACTGTTTACACCCTGGGTAAGCCTGTTTACAAAGGGGAAATACGCCCCTTATTACCTGTTTCTCCAGTAGTTGGAACCTTTAGCATTCTTTTCGTAGTCCACGTCATAGTACGCCACAAGTAAGTCCTTGCCCTGTATCAAGTCTTTATTATCTTCTGTCATGTGAGGGCAGATACCAAAACTGAAATGAAATAATACATTATCAAATTTGGTAGGTTTATATTTGTATTACGGAATTATCACAAAGTAACTGATAGAACTTAAAAAGAAAAAGAAATTTTCAACATATAGGACAAGTACTGAGCGACATACCTTGTAGGACAATGGAGTTCTAGGGCTCACACATTACTGCTTTAATATAAACTTCAACTATTATTATTATAATCCCTTGACTGAGACTATTTAATCCAAAACAAGGCTTAGTTTAATAACTGAGAAATACAATATATAATGAAGCCAAGAAATCCCAAACAAGTTATAAAGAGGTACTCACATGTTTTCCTGGATAAATTTTTTAATCTTGCCACTGGTCATTTTCTGTTCTTTATATGCCGAAGTTTTGTCTTCAAACTTGTTCATCAGATGTGAAGGACGAAACAAGGTGATACCTCTTAAAAAAAAAAAAAAGTCTTAGTAAGTAGATAGCAGAACCGTCTCCCATCTTTTATTTAAAGCTCAGACTATCTACTCTTGCTGCCACTTTTACTATCACCATTTAAGCACATAAGGACTCTTTTTGGGTACCACAGACTTGGCAACATGACCTTCTTATCAACACTAAGATGCTAACTACCTTAATCTCAAGTGTAATAATTGGGCTTAAGGGTTTAATAAACTCTGGATTGAAAAGTTATGAGATCTTGGTTCTAATTCTAGTTCTACCACTATTTCAAAGACCCTGCACCAGGCATCAATTTAATTCTTCTGGGCTTCAGCTTTCATCAGTACAAAAGGAGGTTAGAGTAGATGATTAATGTTTAAACCTTTAAAAACTATAACAAATACAACCAACTCCCTCCAAAGCCCCAATATGTACAATACAATAAAGCAGAGCTTGCTCTTATTGGAAGGTACCTTGTCCTGCCACTCTCCTACACAGAAGGAAAATTACTTTATTAGAGAAAATATCTTTAAGATTTTTCCCAGCTGTAATATTCTATAGGTAGGTATACAATTATAGTATTTGGCTTGAGTTCATTGAAAATTCCTTTGTTCTAGATTTCTTTATACCAATAAACCAAGTTTACAAATACATGCTGGGCAAGCAAGAATGTGAATAGGGCACCTTAAGACATCCTCATATAAGGATGTCACAAACTTTTCAGTAAAACCTTTAATCGGGTGCTGGTAGACCAATTTAAATGGGAGCGTGAGAGGCAGCCACAATGAACAAATCTAAGGTTAAAAGGCTGACACATGGTGTCCTTAATGAGCCATAATGGCTCCAGTTCCATTTACAGACCTGGTGTCTCTCAATCTAAAAGGCAGAACCATATGATCAAGGCTGCCAACTCTGCAGCCAGACTTTCTAGGTTCAAATACCAGTTCTGCCACTTACTATGTAAAGCTAGAAAAATTACTTAACCTCTCTGAGGGGTTTCTCCTCTGCAAAATAGGGAAAATAATAGATCTGTCTCACCTGGTTGTTAAGAGAATTAAATGAGTTAACAGTAAATGACACAGTAAACACTACATAGTTTGTTAAATATGAATAAGTAACACTAGCCCTTGGCACACTTTTAAAAAGCTTTATGTGCTCACCCTGAGTGATCTTATCTAGTCCAATGGTTCCCATAATCATTCATATGTGGATGACCTATAAATCTTTATCTCTAGCTCAGAAATTTTCCTGAATTCTAGTCTCATCTATCCAATTGTCTGTCCACTGGGTCTTCATCACCTGGATGTCACATGAACTCCTCAAATTCACTGTGACAAAATAGAACTCATAATCATTACCCGCCATTTGTTTCTGTCTTTTTTCCTAGCTTGATGATGACTGTCATGGGCCCAGTCACTTTAGAAACCTAGACTCTAGCTCTTCCCCTTTTCACACGTAGGGATTAAACCCTATGTTTTACTCTCAGTCCTTCCTCTTCACTGCCCCTAATACTACCTTAATTGTTACTCTCAGATGTCACCCTTAGTTTACTCTCTCGACTGCCTTGCCATCTCTCCCATTTCAAACCACCACCATATGGGTGCCAGTGACTTTTCTCCTAAAACACAATATTAATAACTATTCTCCAACCCAAAGTCTTCCAATGGAGCTCAAATGTCTAAACTATAAAATCTAAATTCTTCTGTATGGCACTTAACATTTATAATTTGGTCGCTTCTTAGCTCTCTCCCTAACCTTACCTTCCACTATGATTTGTTACTACAAGTCCCAACATGCCTAGACTGTTTTACATTTCATCGCCAGCACTCTTGCTGCTCTATCTGGAATAATTTTTATCCCAACTGCCATAACCTGCCTGGAAAAATTCATCTGTTAAGACACCACCAAGCCTCACCTCTAGGAAGATTTTTCTGATACTACTCGGCACTCCAGAAGAAAATAAAATCACCCCTCTCCTTTATAATTCCACTCCACCCAGCATATGTCTATCATAACACCTATAATGCTCACTACACACTTACATTTTTACATATATCCACTGTTTCTACCTACTAGATGCCCTCAAAGGTTGCAACAGTGTCCAGAACTTAGCAAGAGCCTAGCAAGAGCTCAATAAATCTTTAAAAAACAGTCAAGCATTAAAAATCACCAGTTCAAACAATAGCACCTGGTCCATAGATTTACAAGGGCATACATCTCAGACACTTACTCTCCATCATCATCATACTTGTTCACCAGAGACTCAATATTGGTGTGTGCAAATCGGTAGTTATCCCTCAAGTTGCTGGCTGCTTTTAGAAATTCAGAGTGAGCTTCACTGAATAAATCCTTGAAAAAACCTATATGAGAATGTCAAACACAAGGGAGAAATAGTAAGTGCCGAGATATAATTCAAAACTTTTAAATTCTTCTATTTTTTTCAATTGAATTTTTTAGAGAGGAAAGGGCCAGGAGGGAGTGTGGAGGGTAGAGAGAGAAACATCAATCACGGATTTGTTGTTCCACCCATTTATGCATATTGGTTGTTTCCTGTATGTGCCCCGACTGGAGAGTGAATCCGAAACCTTGGCATATCGGGACACTCTAACCAACTGAGCTACCCAGCGAGGGCTAACTTCTATTTTTTTAAAGCCTTTATTCCATTATGGACAAGCAAAGCAACGTAGGCAGGAGGATTGGGTCTGCTCTGCCATGACTACCTTGGAAATCTGACAAAACCCTTAGGATGAGAATTCTTCCTGTACCTTTTAAAATATTTTTGAATAAGCCAAAATAGAGGATTTGTCAGGGTTCAAGTCTTAGTTTTTCACAATTAAATAATTTATTTGTACAAATTGCTTAACTCCTTAAAGTTTCAGGATTAAATAAGGCAGTATGTCAAAATAAAGGTAAATCACTTCACCATATTTTTTTCTATCTTTTCTTTAGAAACTTCAAGTTTAGAAAAGTGAATGAAACAAATGTTTAATAAATGTCTGCTTGGGGTTAACTCCCTGTAAAATATACTGAATCAGTAAAATCCAGATGATAAATGGCTTTTAGTCAAATCTAAATTATAAACTATTTTCTAGTCCCAGAAAGTCAGTTTTATTATAACATTAGGAGATTAAGAGAAGCACAAACACAGCTTATATGTTTAAATTTATTCTTTAGCCAAATGTATTATACATATAAGACAGAACAAAGAACACCCGACATGTAGAATTGGCTCAGTTATTTTAAGGATAAAATGAGACACTGCAACACTTGGGAAAGCAAAGGTAGCTGTAAAAATAAATACATAGCAATGTGATCTTAGATTTTAAATTCCCCATGATTGTGAAAATAGCAGACACAGAGGTCTATTATTTACTTGTGTCCTGCCACCTTAAAACCCTACTTTCAGTCATAACTACCCTATTACTTGAGTTAAAGTTCAGAGTTTAAGACATGGTAGAAAAAGCTGAAGATATTCCTATTTCAGCCCTTTCATTGAAATTACATTTTTACATCTGTAAGAACAAAGACACTCAAAACACCATTTTTTCCCCCATTATAGAAATGCTGAGCTAATTCTGTGAGTTGTATTTTTAACTGTCTCCAATGTTACCAAAACTGTTTTAACTTTGTTGTTTACTCAGACATATAGTGTTTTTGAAAGCAAGTCGATGATTCTGTGGCATGATCAAATATTTGCTACTTACCCACCACAGAAGCATCCTTATCACCAATGAACTTCTCAAATTCTTCCTCAGTCTTAAGAGGAACTGAAGCTGGTCCTGCTTGCTTCTTCAGGTGGCTGACAATTCCATCTTAAAGGATAAGATGAAAGATTATAGTAACAAATTTATAACTTTTGAGAAGGTAACAAACCATTCACATGATTCAAAGTTCACAAGAGTATACAATGAAGTTGTCTTCCACTCTTGTCCCTACTCACCAGTTTCATCCTCATAGGATAAGATTTCAGTTTTTTATATACTTTTCCAGATATATTAGACATAAACAAATAATTATATATTTATTCTTTGCTTTCTTTTCTCCTCAAACAGCAGCACACATATATGCTGTTCTGTATTTTATTTCTGTCATTTACCATAATTTAGAGACAATTTATGTCAATGTACACAGAACTCCTTCAATCTTTTTTATGAATGCATACATAGTATTTCATTGTATAGATGTACCAAAATTTACTTGACCAGAAACAACTGATGGACATTTGTTTCAAATTTCTTGCTGCTATAAATGATTCTAAAATAAACAACATTTTCTTTTTTTTTTTAAATCCTCACCCAAGGATATTTTTCCCATTGATTTCTATGGGAATAGAGAGAGTGGAAGGGAAGGAGAAGGTGGAGAAAGAGAGAGAAAAACACATCGATTGGTTGTCTCCCACACGTGCCCTGACCAGGGCCAGGGATCAAGCCTGAGCCCCTTCAATCCGAGGGCCAATGCTGTAACAACTGAGCGAACCAGCTAGAGCAGTACATGCATTTATAATTGTTAAACTGCCCGCCCCCCCCCAAAGAGACCACTTATTTATACCCCTACTAGTGATGCAGTGAAGTGTTTACAACAGTACAAATTTAAATAATGACTTTGTGAATATAATTCTCTCTGCCTAGAACACTCTTTCCCTAGATATCCATGTGGCTCCTTCCTTACTTCTTTTAGATCTTTACTCAAATATCATCTTATTTTTTATTTTTTAATTGATTTCAGAGAGGAAAAGAGAGGGAGAGAGAGATAGAAACATCAATGATGAGAATCATTAATTGGCTGTCTCCTGCACACCTCACACTGGGGATTGAGCCTGCGACTCAGGCATGTGCTCTGACCAGGAATCGAACTGTGACCTCCTGATTCATAGGTCCACGCTTAACAATGAGCCACGCCGGCTGGGCTCATATATCATCTTAATGAAGCCTTCGCCGACCATCCTATTGTAAACTAAAACCTATTCAACCTCCAAAGTTCCTTTATCTCTTTCTTGTTTATCTTCCTCTACAAAACTTTTCACTCATCTAATTAATATACTTGATCCTTAATATTTTTATCTCTCTCTCCCCACTACAAAGTAAGTTCCAAATCGGCAGGGATTTTTGTTTGTTTTGCTGATATATACCTAGCTCTAAGAATAATACCTAGCACATAAGTTCAAGAAACATCATTTTGCAAATAATAACAATTCCCTTATTCTCAAGTAGCACAAAGACTTGCTTATAGTCTTACTAAAATTTAAAAGCAGGAAATGCAATGACTGGGCAAGCTTGTACAGGAGTTTAAATACATACAGGTAAAATCATTCCACTTACAGGATCCACCCAAATCATACTTTCCTATTGAGGTGAAATGGGCTAAATAAAATAATTTAGACGTAATAACCACACACAAAAATATCTTTTTATCCTGAAGCCAGACCATTATTCTATTCTACTTTCTTTTGGGGCCCGCTAAAATCATTCATAGGTTCAAAATGCTTACAGACCAGAGGCAGTGCAATTCTCCATAATATTCTACCTCTTCCACCCATTTTCTCTTCTAAGTACTCTAATAATTTGCTAACTGGTTGAGACAGAATACTGTTTAACTAAGGTTGTTTTTCTCATGGATCTCCCACCCAGCCCTTACATATGTTTTCCTCCATTGCTCACAGAGGATGGGTTGTATCAATAGATTAGTTGAAACTGGAATGAATTGTTTAGTCTTTGAGGGGACTGCTATTACTATATCACAATATAAATTATTATAAAAACTTTAATTCAGGGTTATGATGAAAAGTGTTACTTTTCTCCAAGAGTATTTAAATGCTCTGGAAGGTATAGTGGGAGCACTGAATAACCACTTTATGTAGGAAGGCAAACAGTATAGTTCTTAAAGGAGTACATGAACAAAATAAAAATAATCCATCCTAAGTAGCCAAACATCTCACCTCCCAGTCAAATGCTGAGAAATTTTCGAGTTAAAAAAAAAAAATCTAAATTGCAAGTCCAAGTGAGAGTATTTGCCTAGAAGCATTCTGGTTGGGTTTATCTACAATTTTCTTAAGACTTGTCCAACTTTAGAAAAACCATATTAATTAAACTCTAATTGCTGACTTTACCCTAAATAAAACTAATAAAATCTGAATGGTAACATGGGTTCTTCATTAATGATTTTAAGCTCAGAAAAAAGAATATGAAAAAAATTTGGAGTTCTGACTAAATGATACCAGTTGGGCTAAAATATTTATTCCTGCATTAAAGAGTTCCTGAGTATCCACTCCTGGTGCCAGTCTAGGCGCTGGGAACAGAGTAGTTTGTAAACCAAACAAGGTCTCCGCTCTCTTGGAGCTTGCAATTCATAGGAAATCTCTACCCCGGCCGCTGTGGCTCAACGGTTGAGCGTCAACTTATGAACCAGGAGGTCACGGCTCGATTCCAGGTCAGGGCACATATCTGGGTTGTGGCCTCCATCCCCAGTGTGGGATGTGCAGGAGGCAGCCAATCAATGATTCTCTCTCCCTCTTCCTTCCGCTCTGAGAAAGCCTGGGGAGGTGGAGGGTAAAATTTAAGCCATGATCTGAAAAAGGAGCAAGCCATGCAAACACAGGGAAGATCAGTTCAGGCTATGAATACAGCCAGGACAAAAGTCCTGAAGTGAAGCAGTCTTCAGAATTAGGAATGGGTCATACTATGTAGAGCTTTGTGCATGGGTAACAATCACACCGAAAAATTTTCACATCACCTAAAATGCCCAAACTGAACCTCTTTCCTATTAGTTTACCATCATAAAAGGGAAAATATGCCTGGACTTGATAGACTCAAGATAAAACTGTCTTTGTCAGCCTTCAAGCCACATGGTCCCGGTGCCTTGGGTACACCAAGCTCAGTTATACGTAAGGCCTTTTGCATTGGCTTTCCCTTTGCCTAGAGGTTCTGATCCAGATTTTCTCACGGCTGGCTCCTTCCTGTCACTCAGGTCTCAGCTCAAATGTTACTTCCCTCATCACCTAATTATGAGGTGCTCCCAAGACCACATCAACTGGTATTATTTTCCTCCTTTCATGCTCTTACCACTAGCTGAATTTATCTTATCCATATACATTTTTTACATTAAAATTTTTGTTTTGTTTTTGTTAATCCTCACCCGAGGATATTTTTCCATTGATTTTTAGCGCGAGTGGAAGAGAGAGGGAAAGACAGAGAGAAACATCAATGTGAGAGAAATACATCAATTGGCTGCCTACTGCATAAGCCTTGACTAGAGCCTGGGCCGGGGAGGAGCCTGCAACCGAGGTATGTGGCCCTGACCGGAATCAAACCTGGGACCCTTTGGTCCGCAGCTGACGCTCTATCCAGAGTCATACCAGCCAGGGTAACATTAAAATTTTTTAAACTATGATAAAATATACAACATCAAATTTACCATCTTAACCATTTTTAATCGTACAGTTCTGTGGCATTAAGTACATCCACACCGTTATACAATCAACCTCCAGGACTGTTTTTATCTTGCAGAACTGAAATTCCACTGATTATATAACTCCCTATTCTGCCCTCCTCACAGCCCCTGGCAATCACCATCCTACTTTCCGTCTCTATGAACTAGACTTCTGTAGGAACATCATATAGGTAGAATCACACAATATTTGTCTTTTTTGTGTCTAGCTTATCCCACTTAGCATAATGTCTTCAAGGTTCAACCATTTTGTAGTTCATGTCCTAACTTCCTTTTAAACATGTATATCATTGTATGATATACACATCGATATATAATTTATTATTAATATACCACATTTGGTGTATCCATTCATTCACTGATGGACATTTGGGTTGCTTCTACCTTTCTGCCATTGTTGACTAATGCAGCTATAAACCTGGGTGTACAAGTATCTCTTTGAGATCCTGCTTTCAATTCTTTTGGGTATATACCCAGGTAGAATTGTTGGATCATATGATGTCTATTTTTAATACTTTTAATAACTTGCCATTCTGTTTTCCATAGTAAGCTGCACCATTTTACATTCACACTAACAATTCAAAAGGGTTCCAATTTCTCCACAGCCTCACCAGCACTTGTTATTTTGAGAGCAGCCATCCTAATGGATGTGAAGTGGTAGATACCTCCAAGTATTTTTAAACCTATTTGTTGCCTTCTTTTCAACTCCTAGAATGTAAGCATCACCAGAGTAGGAACTGTGTCTGTTTTGTTTATCAATAAATACTGAGCACCTAGAATGTCCAGAATACCTGGCCCAGAGTACTCAATAATATTTGTCAAATGAAAAAATGCCTAGTTGATCTTATAACTCAAGTTCAAGTATTTTCTATATTACTTACATAATCTGTTCATTTAGAGAAGTTTTTTGTTAGCTACCAAACTGACCTCTTAGAAGATAAATTTTAAAGACCGAAAGTATGTTGTATAGAAAATTGTCCTGTTCACATTACAAAGAACAGGATACTTCAAGCGTCCTTACCAGCAGTCCTGGGCCCATCATAAGCACCTGCTTCTTCACCATCTCTAAATATCTTCAGGGTTGGATATCCACTGACTCCATACTTATTACAGGTGTTTGTGTTGGCAGTACAATCAACCTAAAGATTAAAATGTATAAACCACTTGTTATCCAAATGCCTGCTTACAGGTTCTTCCTATATTTCCAAATATTAAGATTGGTCAAGTCATAAAGGATCAAACAATTCTTGACATACATGCCATAGAACATGAGATTTTAAAGGCAGACTGGTGCTGGGCTAGCTACATAAGAACTACCTAAGGAAATCTTTAAAATTTAGATCCCTGGGCCTCATACAAAATACACAAATGACAATTTAAATTCTGCCCTTGGAGTCTCTATTGTCTAAAATGGTCTCCATCTTTTTCCTGCCCCAGAACATGTGAGGGATAAATCACTTAAGTTAGTAACAGTGGCTTATTTTGATAATGATTATCATCAAGAGGATACATGGATAGGTGTACATACTATTTAGCTGGGGTGGAGTATAATTTGATTTGGCAAATCATCTAGTTATTAGCAAAGTTACCAATACTTGAATACCTGAGCTAGTATGAATCTTGGCTAAACTATAACATGACATTTAATGATACTAATGAAGAAGAGGGCAATTTCCATCTATTTAATCACTTGATAGAATCATGAGGTTCAGAAAAGTAATACGGGCTATAACTACATAAGACAGAAATTAAATCAAAACCAAACTCTTTTTTTTTTTCTATGGCAAGCTGCCATAGAAACATTAGAATTAAAAGCAGTTTCTGCCCTGGCCGGTGTGGCTCAGTTGCCTGGGCGCTGTCCCATGCACCGAAAGACGGTCAGGGCACATGCCCAGGTTGCAGACTTAATACCCAGTGTCGGGCATGCAGAAGGAAGCCAACTGATGTTTCACTCTCACATCGATGTTTCTCTCCCTCCCTCTCTCTCTAAAAATCAATTAAAAAAAAAAAGTTTCCAAGAGTTCAAATAAATATGGATGAACTATTTGAGACTGGCTGAGATGTGAGCTTTAAGACTGGAATAAATATGGGTTTAATACAGAATAAATGCAAAATTCTGGAAGCATTACTTTGATTATAAAAGCACATACTGAGTTTATTGTAGACTAATAACTCAACATCCTCATGCTATTTTTCCTATTCCACAGCGGGACTGTCACGATAGTATAGGGAATTATTTACTCAATAATAATTTCCTTCTAATCTTGACTACTGTACTCTTACTTTTCGTATTTCCTCTTAATTCCTAGTGACCATATTTCACATGTTTCTTTTGCCAATAATTCCCTTAGTTCCACTACTTTTAATAGTTTGAAACTATACTTGATACAACAGTCACCTGTGTATTTGTCCAGAAACTAATGTTCTCTCTTAGCAACATAAGAGTAGAGGAAATCTTAATTTTACAAACTATTATTTAAAATACCTCATTTCTTGCCCTGGCCAGGTGGCTCAGTTGGTTGGAGCATCATCCCATACACAAAAAAGCTGTGGGATAGATTCCCAGTCAGGGCACATACCCAGGTTGTGGGTTCCACTCCAGTTGGATGTTTCTCCCTCTCCCTCTCCCTCCCCCTTCTTCTCGCTCTAAAAGCAATAAAAAAAACCCCCACATATCCTCAGGTGACGATTAAAAACAACAACAAATCTTGCCCGGCTTGTGTAGCTCAATGGTTGAGCAGCAGACCCATGAACCAGGAGGTCACCAGTTTGATTCCTGGCCAGGGTACATGACCAGGTTGCAGGCTTGATTCCCACTTGGGGGCATGCAGGAGGCAGCCGATTGGTATTTCTTTTTCATCGATATTTTTATATCTCCCTTTCTTTCCTCTCTCTCACATTAAAAAACACCCCACCTCATTTTTTTAAATGAAGAATCCACCTATACTCACCTTTGCTAACGGGACTATTCCTTTTAATCTAGTAGCTGCAGCTTCATACTCAGGGGCAAGCCTCTTGCAGTGTCCACACCTATACAGATATATTAAAAAAAAAAAAAGCCAAATTCTCAATTTAATCCTATAAGTCTAACTTTATTTCTCTAGGAAGAACCCCAAACTATACTACTTTAGAACTAGTAGGTGCTTTATCTGAACAACCCCCATTAGTAATTAGGGTAAACCAAAGCTCTCAGAAGATAAAAGTATTATCTCCAGCCTAAGGTTGATTCTATAGGAGATCAGTCCAGAGCAACATCTATTTTCTCAATAAAAGTGCAACTGAGTCCTGAAAGTGGTAGTCAAAAGTATCCTCCACATTAAAGAGGTAAAGGGCTGCCTGGGGCTCAGTGATTGTGAGTGTTGACCTACGAACCAGGTCACAATTCGATCTGGGCACATGCTCAGTTTTTCTCTCGATCCCCAATGGGGGCATGCAAGAGACAGCTGATCAATGATTCTCTCTCATCATTGATGTTTCTCTCTCCCCCTCCTCTCTGAAATCAATACTATATATATATTTAAAAAAAATCTCTATATATAAAACCTAAGCAACCATTAGGACTGGTCAACTGAACGACCGATTGCTATGACACGTACTGACCACCAGGGAGCAGGTGCCCAATGCAGGAGCTGCCCCCTGGTGGTCAGTGCACTCCCACAGGCAACCTCCCGCGGTCCCTCCCCTTGGCCAGCCAGGTGGTCAGTGCACTCCCACAGCCAACGTCCTGCAGCCGGCCAACCTCCTGCAGTCCCTCCCCCTGGCTGGCCAGCCCCAATCGGGACTGGGTAAGATGGCCCTGATCAGCCCCAATCGCTGGCCAGGCCAAGGGACCCCACCCATGCACGAATTCGTGCACCCGGCCTCTAGTATATATATAGTGACTGAAACCTGTAAGGTTCCAAGTATAATACTGACTCAGTAAGAATCACCATCAAGTATTTTTTCTCCATCCCTTCAATATGACTTTTTGACCAGAAACCCAGTTTGAGGGGATAGCAGAATGAAGCCCAGAAGGTACTCATTCGTCATAGATACTCTAGCAACTCACTGGTGGTTTTCCCCCACCCTCAACTGAATCACAGCATCTGAATGACATATTTAAGAGCATAGGCCAGCCCTAACCGGTTTGGCTCAGTGGATAGAGCGTCGGCCTGCAGACTGAAGGGTCCCAGGTTCGATTCCGGTCAAGGGCATGTACCTTGGTTGCGGGCACATCCCCAGTAGGGGGGTGTGCAGGAGGCAGCTGATTGAGGTTCCTAACTCTCTATCCTTCTCCCTTCCTCTCTGTAAAAAATCAATAAAATACTTTAAAAAAAAAAAAAAAAAGAGCATAGGCCAGCTCTAGCTGGTTTGGCTCAGTGTGGGTATTGTGTCAGCCTGAGGACTGAAGGGTCCCGGGTTCAATTCTGGTCAAGGGCACATGCCCGGGTTATAGGCTCAATTCCCTAGTAGGGTGCGCACAGGAGGCAGCCATCAATGATTCTCATCATTGATGTTTCCCTCTCTCCCTCTCCCTTCCTCTCTGAAATCAATAAAAATATATTTTAAAAAAAAGTGTGTAGGCCTGATTTTTATAGCTATACAATTCACCTGGCTACAAGAACTGATGAGAATAAAACATTGTCAATTAGAATGTTCCCAGAGGGCCATCAGAAACACCTGCTCCTCTGCCTGAAAGTCCTAACAGTGACATAAATATACTGTATATGCAATGGGGGGAGAGGGGCAACATACTCCTCCTTAGTGTACAGCTAGCACTAGGTGTATATCACCTCTTCAAAAGCCAATGGGTTGCAGAGGGATTACTTTGAGAAGGTGAATAGTTCTGTAATCTCCCCAAATAGCAAAAATAGAATAAGAAAAGCAAAGGAAGGAAACATAGAAGAAACTTGAGCTGATATATTTCATAGTCAACAGTCTCAAAATTTATTAAAAAATAGTTTTACTTATTTCAGAGAAGAAAGGAGAGGGAGATAGAAACATACATGACAGAATATCATTGATAGGCTGCCTCCTGCACACCCCACACTGTGGATTGAGCCTGCAACCCAGGCATATGCCCTGACTGGGAATCGAATTGTGACCTGGTTCATAGGTCAACGCTCAAACACTGAGCCCTGCCAGCCAGGTCTCAAAATGTAAGTGATGAATAAGCAACGTGGAAGCATTTGCCCCTAAAACTTGTTTAAGACAAAGAACTACAAGAGCATATATTCTTCAAGGTCTTTAGGAGTTCTATTAAAAAATCATTAGAAAGCTTAAACCAGGGGTCCTCAAACTACGGCCCACGGGCCACATGCAAATACAAATCTTGTATTTGTTCGTTTTGTTTTTTTACTTCAAAATAAGATATGTGCAGTGTGCATAGGAATTCGTTCATAGTTTTTTTTTTAAACTATAGTCCGGTCCTCCAACGGTCTGAGGGACAGTCAACTGGCCCCCTGTTTAAAAAGTTTGAGGACTCCTGGCTTAAACGAAGAAAAGGTGGTATTTAAAAAAAACTGTAATATTATATTAGCTGTTGCTTAGGGTCACACACATATTTACTAAAAGTATAAAAGGACCAAATGATAAATACCAAATTCAGGATGGGGGGGTGCATAAGATGGGGAAGGGGTACACAGGGGGCTTCAACTGTATAGGTCTTTTTGTTAGACCTAGTGGAATAAATGGTATTCCTTATACTGCATTTTACAGATGCACATTTTACCATATTTGAAATTGGAATGTATCTTGCAATCAGTAATAGCTTCAATGGTAGTATTTCTTTCTTTGTAAGACATAAAATAATGGTTCCTGCCCAGCCAGTGTGGCTCAGTGATTGAGCACCGACCTATGAACCAGGAAGTCACGGTTGGATTCCTGGTCAGAGCATAGGAGGAGTCATGCCGGAGGCAGCCGATTGATGATGTCTTTCTCATCAATTTTTCTCTCTCTCCTTCTCCCTTCCTCTCTTGAAATCAATAAAAACATATTTTCAAAAAAAAAAATAATTTCTCATATCAGTGGTAACTTAGATGTGCCTGATATATGCTATTATTCATTATATCCTCTATATTCCTTTACTATTGCATAAGAAATTAAAATTTTGAGTACTTCGGTTGTAGCAAAATACACACACTACAATTGATCTAATACCATAAAATAACCAATTTATCTGAGAAATCCAGGCTTTTGGGACCACAATAAAATTTCAAAAGTTAAAAAATGTATGTTAAAGGGAGTAAGATTTGGATCTGGGCCTTTAAGGCTTCAGAAAGGACATGGTAGAATATTTTAGATAAAGGGAACAGTAAAACAAAGACAAAATTACTAGTGAGAATGATACATTCAGAGAACTGTGAAGGGCTTTTGCTATTAAGAGATAATAAATGTGTTACGTGTATTAAGACTACATCAGCCAGCAATATTACAGGCCTGACAAAGGGGGAAAGCAGAGATAAAAATGCCACCTAGAGATAATATATTTCACATGGCAGAAATGAAAGCTTGGTCCAGCATGGTAGCAATGAGAATAAAGAAGAAACAGAAGAGAGATTTCTGTTGACTTTGTAGTTATTGTCAAGAAGGCTGAAAACAGCCCTGACCGGTTTGGCTCAGTGGATAGAGTGTTGGCCTGCGGACTGAAGGGTCCCGGGTTCAATTCCGGTAAAGGGCATGTACCTTGGTTGCGGGCACATCCCCAGTAGGGGGTGTGCAGGAGGCAGTTTTGGGGTTAAATAAAAAAACAATACTCAGTTTGGGAAAGTCAGCCAAAAGCAAGAATAATTCATTATGAAAGCAAACAGAAGAAAACAGTATATTCTCAATTTCTTTTTCCCAGGAAGTCTGGAGAAAAAAATCCTCATGTCACTAAATTGTCTGTTGCATGAATTTTAGTGTTTTGCTATAAGACAGCATGAGAGTTATTAGGCCAAAAATCATTATTGTATTTCCAGTACAATTTATCTTGAGTGTCTATCTCTTAAATCAGTTTATACTTATCAGTTTTCTTTCAGCAAACATTCTTATCATCATGCAGAATTTACCTTTTCAGAGAAAATTAAATCAGAGAATAATTAAAACAAACAAAAACAATACTCAGGTTTACTCTGCCCGAAATCCTGTTTGCTCCCCCGATCCCAAGTTTTTTTTTCAGTTAGTTCTATCCTAAAGCATTTACACCTGGAAGTGGAGTATTTATCCAACACAGGTTACTTTCTCATTAGAGTATTTTTGGCATTTTTCAAAAATCCTAATTAAAACAGACAATTTAGTCTGGCCAGTATGGCTCAGTGATTGAGCATCGACCCATGAATCAGGAGGGCACAGTTGGATCTGGTCAGGGCACATGACTAGGTTGTGGGCTCAATCCCTATTCGGGGGTGTGCAGGAGGCAGCCAATCAATGATTCTCTCTCATCATTGATGTTTCTATCTTTCTCTCCCTCTCTGAATTCAATAAAAATACATATTTTTTAAAAACTGACAATTTAGATTCTGACAAATGACACTCAGGTAGAGTTTGAAGGTGAGCATCAAGATTAACCACTACTTCTTTCACTCACTCCTTGATAATATGAAAAAACAAATCACATCCACCTTCAGGGATGGCACTTAGCAGTTAATAATGAAATCCCAACATATATTCACCCAAGAATCATCAATCATCATCACTTCATGTCTCTAACAGAAAAATTGATATAGTTCTTTTTCTAAGGAACACCATTCTGGCATGGGTGAGGCAGTATTATTAGGTCCCAATAGAGAAGAGGGAGCAATCAGTTAGTTGTTCAGGGAAGGAAGTGAGTTAAGTTTTGTTGAGAATAATTTGCGAGTGTGTGTGTGAGATCCTTGTGCAGAGGCAGGAATTCTAAGTAAAGGAATCAGCATGCATAAAAAAAAAATACAGGGGCAAAAGTAAGTTTATAGCTGTTTGCATGTAAAATAATACAATTAGCCCTAGCCGGTTTGGCTCCTGGATAGAGTGTCGGTCAGCCTGCAGACGAAAGGGACTCGTTTGATTCCAGTCAAGGGCTCATACCTCGGTTGCAGGCTCCTCCCTGGCCCGGGCCCTGGTTGGGGCACTTGTAGGAGGCAACCAATCGATGTTTTTCTCACATCAATATTTCTCTGTCATTCCCTCTCTTCCACTCTCTAAAAATCAATGGAAAAAATATCCTCGGGTGAGGATTAAAAAAAAAATTAACAAATAATACAAGAATAAACTCTGTGCTTTGTGTACTCACAAATGTAAACCTACTTTTGTCCCACCCTATATTAAATATCCCATTTCATACTATTCACAGTCTTTCTCTATACCCTAGACCAGCGGTCGCCAACCTTTCGGCCCTCATAGTTTGTGAGGGCCGAAAGGTTGGAGACCGCTGCCTAGACACATTGTATTATCAAATGTCATTATTTAATACTACCATTCTAGAGGGTAGGGCACAAATCTACAACATAAGTAGATGCTGAGGACTTAAAACATACTTAAGACTGATCAATGAATTTTCAGAAATTATCACAAACATTTAAATAGTGCTATTTATTTCCCCCAAAGAAATCTAGTCTTAGAAATTACATAGATGATTAACTCCATAAAGGGAATATTAGTCTAAAAATCAACTACAAAGAAATCTTTCACTTTCACTTGTAAAATGAAAATGAAAAAATATCCTAAAGCAAACCAGAAAAAGAACCTGCTCAAAATAGGCTCATTTACTCTTAGATTCTTTTAATGTTCCTAAGTTGCGAGCTCATACTCTTGATTTGAACAAAGGAGTATCAAAAAACATTTCCAACTTAAGTATTCATAAGTAAAAGTGGTTGAGCCCTGGCCAGTGTGGCTTAATTGGTGGGAGTGTTGGCTGGCACACCAAAAGGTTGCGGGTTTGATTCCCAGTCAGGGAACATATCTAGGTTTTGGGTTCAATCCCCATTTGGAGGACAGTATGGGAGACAACTGATCAGTGTTTCTCCTTCCCTCTCTCTCTT